AAGTGGATGAAAGGGATAGAGTCCAAGTTGGGTTGTTCTTGATTTGTATCACATGTTAGCACAAATCTCAATACAAAATCAATGAATAAGAAAATTGGTGGATAAATAGTTCCTATCCACTTAAGTTTATAGGAGCTTTGCGCTCTCTCTCTCTACACACACATATGTATATATATATAATAATAATGGGAGGATTCAAGATTCACTATTCACGTTACAGTAAAGTACTGTAGCATTGTTACTGTATTACTAACAGGAGGATCCAAGATAAGCTATTCATGTTACAATAAATACTGTAGCATTTTATTGTAGCACATGAGGGACTGTAACGTTTAAAAACATTACTGTAGCATTATTGCTGTAGCGCATACGAGGTACTGTATCATTTTAAAATGTTACTGTAGCACTTACAAAACTGAATATAGAATTACTGTAGTGGAAATAAAAAAATAAAGGCCGTGCTTTGCACGGGATGCACACTAGTGTGTGTGTATATATATAAAGTCTATATATATGTTGATAGAAATTTATAAAGTCTATTAATCCACTTAAGAGAAGTTTTAAACTTGTTTGAAAATATTTTGTCAAAATCATGTGTTGTTGAGACTTCGTGTTTTTAGACTATTTTGCAAAGTGATGAGTTTTAACAAATAAGAAATGCAATTTAAAAAATTCTTTTTATAACATGTTCATTTTCATGTTTATAAACATTTTCCTAAATTTTATATTTTTTGGAATTTGTTTGATATTTTTAAACAAGTTTTGAAGCTGATATTTACTGCGCATTTCAGGTCCTGTGCATGTTTAAATCGACTCATAAGTCGACTTATGATATGTTGTGCAGTTAGATTTTTTCGTCTGCTGAGTCGACTTATAACTCATACAAGTCGACTTATAAAGACATAAGTCGACTTATACCTGTCATAAGTCAATATGACCGTTACACAGTAACGACTATTTTTTAGATTTTGTTGTTTTGTATTTTTTGTTGGTTTTAGATGGTTTCTCGGGGTCCCTATATATACCACATACCCTCTAACTTCTGAGTTAACCTAAGAAAGTTTTAAAACAAGTTTTACAAGTGTTTAAGAAGTTTTTCAAGTCTGTTTTGTGTGAAGAAGTTTTCACAAAGAGGAGGCTTACATTTTCGGTTTGAAGAATTCAACATCATCTCTTCATCTACATCTCTTTGTGATTTTGGAGAAGTTTTCTCAACTCAATTATCTAGCTTGTTTATACTTAAATTGTTATATTTATATTTGCTAGATTAATTCGAGTTTGATTTCATTTTACTCTTTGATTGTACACACAACCTATTGAGTTTTTAATATTATTATATTAAGTATAATTTGGGTTGTGGTGAGTGTATCATTGAGAGTGAGCTTATATTGTATTCTCATCTTGTTTAGAGAACGAACCATTTGTTATTGTGCTTAATTGTGAGATATACTTTGTAATACACTTGTACACCGAGAGAAGTGTGTGGTGAGAGACGGGGTTGATTCTAAGGGGAGTGAGGTAGGTGGTAAAGCCTAGAGAGAGGTGGTAATTCCGAGCACTTGAGGAAAACGACACTGGCTAGACCAACACTTAGAAGGTGTAGAGTGTGATTGCAAGAGTGTGAGTTGTGAAAGTTTTCGGTGAGCTAGAAAACCGAGATTGTGAGGTGTAAACGTTTTCGGTTAGCGTTGAAAACCGGTTGAGATAGTGGAATTCTCCTTGAGAGTGAGGAGCGAAGACGTAGGTCGGAAGGACCGAACTGCATGATCATTTTCTTGTGTTTGCATTAGTTATTTGCCCGCTATATTGTTCATATTGTTTCATGTCTATTTCACCCTTGTGTTAATTATATATTTTTGCTCATAATTTGTTGAATATCTCCCTTTCAAGAATAAATTAGTTAATAAGTTTTTAATTGGCATTAATATCGGATTAGATTAGCATATTAACCTATTCACCCCCCTCTAGGGTAATT